TTGATCCTGTCTTCCCTGACCCTTCTCTTCTTCCACAGTCCCCAGTCCATCTGCTGATAGTACAGAACCCTAGGAGACACTCTGCACATGTTCAGTTTGGTGTGTATTGCTAGAGAGTTGTTTTTTCTTTGGGAGGGTGCATGTGATCAGTACAGGGCCAATCAGCACTGTCCAGACAGGAGGGTCAGGGGTCATACAGCCACATAGGACAGTCAGATGTGAATGAAAACTCCTCCTACAAGATTAACCAGTGTTCAGCCAGACACTGGTAGAAGTCACAAGATTACTATATTGTATACTGCTGATATAGAAAAGGTATTTAGCAGTTTATATTTACTAAAATAATTGCATTTCCATGTTCTGTGTACTGTGGGAGACCAGATAAAGTGAATGCAGGGTTCTGTGTAAAGTAACACTTTAAGCTTTGACGATAAAACCTGGAAGCTGATTGGTTTCTATGCAGAGCTGCACCAGATTTTGCACCATGCAGTCTTAATAAATAACCTCTGACGACTACATAGAAAGTACATTTTGACTCACTATTAATACATTTGTATTACACTATGATCAGTTTAAATAGAAATATCCTTTGCAGAGTTATACTTTACACTGCTTTTTCATTATGTCAATGATCAATTATTTCAGAAACTGGGTCTGAATGCATTATCTTACATAAGGCTATAGCAGAAAGAAAAAGAAAAAGCTAGATGCAGTCTTGCAAATTATAATCAAAATAGTTGTGAAAGTACAGTGAAGCAAGAAAGTAATGTGAATATCACATACAAAATTACTTTCAGGTAATCTTTAAATATTAATCCACTTTTGATGAGAAAAAACATTCCTCTCTGGGTGATCTATGTACTTTGCAGGGATTTTAACAAACTTCCTTGCAGATTCCTACCTTTTTGTATTCTGAAGAAGTAGATGTTTGTTTGTATATGTCCATGTGCAGAGTGAATCTGTATGGGAGTGACTGATTAATTATCAATCAACTGCTGCACCTGCAGGGCATTAATGAGGACAATTGCAAGCTCTGCATCCCTTTAGATGTGATCTCACATAGGGATCATTTTAACAAAAATGACAATCTTGTTGCAGGAGATGCCAAAAATCTAACTTTCATCTTAGTGCAGACTTCTGGGAAAACCAGTAAGCCAATCACACAAGCAGGAAATTACATATTCAGGGGGTGTTCTGTACACACTCTGTGTACAGAACACCTCCAGGTAGCCATATTGTATTACAATTACATCGCTGTAGATTGAAAAGGAAAAATAATTTTTAATAACATTCAATTACAATATGACTTGAGTCGCAATTGTAAACGCTATGGTATTCTTTTTTTTTGCTAATTTTTTTCCCTTGAAAGTAGAGTTACCCTTTAAACTAATGAAAAATGGATGCTTGCTGAAAATGCTAAATAATGTCCTAGTAAAGCCACAGAGCTTTCTTAATCACTAAGTAGTATGCTACACAGGTCTAAGAATTTAGGTTTGATGAGGTAGTAAATTGACAAAATACTGTATAAAACTGTAAACCAATAAAGTTAAATCTTTTTAAAATGAAATCCTCCAACAATGAGCCAGATTTCCAACTTTACCTTAGTAATAGATATTAATTTTGCAACTAGAAGTGCAAGATACCTAGCAGGCAAATGGTTGGATGACTAGAATAAAAATATACGGTTATCTATTGATCTGCTTTAAGGACTTTGCACGTCATCATTATCGATTCAGCACCATGCCAGAAATGTATCTTGTATTTTTGTATAACCTCTGATCATAATTCAGCTATCTTTTAAGCCTAAACACTCTATAAAATACAGATGAGGCATGTAAAGATGTTCTTTCTACTTTCCTGAAATACTAATTAGTAGTAACTCATCACATTGCCTATGTTGCCCTAAAAATTAAAGGAATCCACACTCCTTATAACCAGATTGTTTGGCAACCAAATTATTTTGATATTCCAACTGTACCTATGAGAAAATGTTTTGATTACTTTTAGCTGATTATGATGATGTTCATCCATTGTGTTCGAAGAGGATCTTGACATCTAACAGGTAGTGGGCTTTGGGAGTTGGGGGTTGTCAGACTTGCGCGTGAATTGGATTACAGTGAGGGAGAGGTGCTCATAGTCAGCCTCACTCTCTCTTCCCAGATTCCATCTTGCTTGAATGGCAGGACAAGAGCTGAGACAGTTGGAGATGGGCTGGGTGCAGTGGTTGATCAGGGCACCTTTTGTGTCTTGCCATGCTCTTAGCGTACCACATCACTTGCGAAGACCGCCTTCATGAACGTTGTCCTGTTCATGCTTGGGATAGACAAGACCCTATCTCACCGAAGGTCAATGACCCAACGGCTACTCTCAACCTGGTTTGGCCAGCTTCTCGAAACTGTTACCCAGCTACTAGGAGCCACAGGTGAGAGCTGCGTGACAGGCGAGGATAAAGGTGTACGAGCTGCCCTGAAAGGACACAACCTGCCTTTACATCAGAGGTGCTACCCCTCCCTGCACACTCCATACACCCATAGTTGATTATATAGGTCTAATCAAAGTGGAAATGACTGTACAGATTGGAAAATTAAAGTGTCATTAATCCCAGACTATGAAAAACTCTCATTACATGCTATATAACAGAGTGTACTTACTCACAAAGCCACTAAAGCATTTATTTTGTGTAGTAGAGTGAAATATACCTGGTTGATCCTGCCTTCAGCTGTCCCTCCTATCTTCTCTGCGTCCCCCCTGCAGCCTGAAATTGTGTAGACCAACTGGTGTACTCTACTGAGCATGCTCATATTTCACTTGCCTTCTAAGCTCTTCATTTCCTCCTTTTTCTTATCTGTGCAGCCCACATGACTATAGAATCACACATGTGGACATATACACAGTGGCAAATGACACTTCCTTCCCTCCTTCCTCTTCCATGTCCTCCTATTGCTAAATGCTATGGGGGCAGGATATAGTATACTGCTTGTTACATTCACTAAGAAACTCACAAAAAGCTTAGTTTTAATATAAATTAGTATTAAGTATATCAAATGTAATTGCTAATACCTATAAAGTAAAAAAGAGCCTTGGATGCAGATGCCATCTGAACAAAATGAAAGCTAGTGTCAATCATCTTTGACCCTGCATACACCATATTGATGCACAACAAATACATATTTGATGTTCAATAAAGATGTATAGGGATTTAGGCTTTTGATGTTTATAATATCATTTGAATTGCTCTTCTGAAAAGCTTTTTTATCATGTGACTGGCACAACACCAATCAGGGCTGTGCAGACAGACTTACACTGTAGTAATAGAAGCCACTGCAGATGCCAAAGAAGAGGGAAAGATCACGTGACCATGCAACAGTGCTGCAGGAATAAGGTACTTCGAGGATTAAAACAATACAGTAGCATGATATACCATATTTTCCGGCATATAAACGACTGGGTGTATAAGACGACCCCCTAATTTTCCAGTTAAAACATAGGTTTTGGGCTATACTCGCCATATAAGACTACTCCCCTTCCGCGGCAACACCATTTAAAAACATCAGATTTTTTTAATTCAAATGGTTATGACTTACCGGTACTTAAAATCCTTCAAAATCCTCATGTTCATCCTCTGACATCATAAGTTCATCAATGACATCTTGTGATACATTTGTAAGACAGTCATCATATGGATCTAATTCCAAATTAGATGATGTGGCTTCAGCTTCGGCTTCCCCTTCATCTTGCACAAGTAGTTATTCTTCATACCATCCAATGAATTTAATATGCCACACTTCTTGAAAGACTTGATTTTTTTTTCTGTATCAATAGCATTCCAGGCTTTTATGACAAAGTTACAGAAAACATCCAATTGTGGAGCACGCATGTTTCCTCCTTTTGTGAATGACTTTTCGCCGCTAACCATCCACTCATTCCACTGTTCTTGAATGCGATCTTTAAATGGCTTGTTTAGGCACACATCCAGTGGCTGAACCAATGATGGCAATCCTGCAGGAATAACTGCTGCATGTGTGTTTATTCTTGCCAGTCTTTTCTTTGTGCCGGTAGTTAAATGAGCCCTGAACATATCTCACACCGGTAGGCTATGTTCTTGACGAAGTCCACCTGGTCGCCTACTCCATACATTATCAAGCCATAGCTTAACCCCTTCTTCATCTATCCAGCTTTTTTCATTCACATGTACAAAAACTCCAACAGGGAACTTGATTTTCGGCATTGTTTTTCTTTTAAAAATAATCATTGGTCTTTTGTTTGGCACCGTCAGCTGTACATGCTAGTACCACTTTAAAACAGGACTTCTTATGTCCTGTTGTTTTAATTAACACTGTTTTTGCACCTTTTGAATTGACAGTTTTATTTCCAACCATATCGAAATTCATAGGAGTTTCATCTTTATTTCTGATATTACTTAACGCATAGCCGTGTTCCTTGCGCTGTTGTATTACATATCGATAGAAATTACTTACTTTACCGTCAAGATCTGCAGGTAATTTTTGTGCAATTTTGGTCTTTTGCCTCAGTACCAGATTATGCCTTTCTAAGAACCTAGTACACCAGGATACAGTGGCCTTAAATCATTTACTGTGATCTGGGTTAGAGTTGGCCCACTGAAGTGCAAACATACGTATCTTGTTTCGTGTCACTACATAACCATTTTGACGATGCTCATGCACCATGTCTGCTACTTGATTTTCGAGTTTCTGGCCAATGTGGGGGGCCTCTTCTTAATGCACACTTACTCCTTGGCATACTCTTTAAGGCATCTTTATTTGCTTTCCATTCTCGGACCATCTTTTCTGTTACTGCATATTGTCTTGCAGCAGCACAGTTATTATGTTCCTTGGCAAAGTTTACAACTTTCAGTTTGAAACTGGCTTCATATTTCCTTCTTCTTGCTGGAGCCATGATGGGGTCTTGTCTACCAGCCATTTTGTTTAACTATGCGGTACACTCACTAATCTGTCAGCCCGCTGGATGTGCGGTAATACGGTACTATATGTACGGTAGCTTCGGCTACATACAGTATACAGCAGGGGTGGACTGACAACTCATGGGGCCCCTGGGCAATAAGGGAACATGGGGCCCCTGTGTCTTCGCCCACACTCAAACCACACCCGAAAAAGCCTATGAAAGGTACCAGGGGCATCTCATGGGGCCCCCCTACTGACCCCGGGCCCTCGGGCAGTGCCCGAGTTCCCAAATGGTCAGTACGCCCCTGGTATACAGTATATATACAGCCCACTGGATGTGCAGTAATAATGTACATACACCCTGTTCCAAATTATTATGCAAATTATATTTTTCTCATTTACCTAAATAATTGATGTAAATAACAGTCAGCATAGTTCTCGTGTTATCAACTATTAAGAGGACAATTCAAATTTTATTGAACAAACCTCCTAATGATAACAGTATTTTTTTAAACATAAAAAACTTACAATGCACTGTTCCAAATTATTACACACAGTAAGTTTCAAAACACTTTATAGGTTGTAAAGAACTGAAAATTGTCATTTATTGTGTTTGCAGCATATTTACTGAAATCAAAAGCTATTTCAATCAAACTTTTAACAACATTTTAACAGGTCCCGTTACATTTTAACATAGGACCCCTTATTTGATAGCAACTGCACAAGTTTTGCATCCATTGAACTTGTGAGTTTTTGGACAGTTTCTGCTTGAATGTGTTTACAAGATGTCAGAATAGCCTCCCAGAGCTGCTGTTTGGATGCAAACTGCCTCCCACTCTCATAGATCTTTTGCTTGAGGATGCTCCAAAGGTTCTCAATAGGATTGAGGTCAGGGGAGGATGGAGGCCACACCATAGCTTTCTCTCCTTTTATCCCCATAGCAGCCATTGATGCAGAGATATTCTTTTCAGCATGAGATGGTGCATTGTCATGCATGAAGATGATTTTATTACGGAAAGCATAGTTCTTCCTTCTGTACCAGGGAAGAAAGTGGTCAGTCATAAACTCCACATACTATGCAGAGGTCATCTTTACACCTTCGGGGACCCTAAAGGGGCTGACCAGCTCTGTTTCCATGATTCCGGCTCAAAACATGACTCCACCACTGCCTTGCTGACTTCGCAGCCTTGTTGGAACAGGGTGGCCGTCCACCAACCATCCACTACTCCATTCATCTGGACCATCCAGGGTTGCACGGCACTCATCAGTGAACAGGACTGTTTGAATATTAGTCTTCATGTATTTTTCTGCCCAATGCAGCCATTTCTGCTTGGTTAGTGGTGGCCGAATAGAAGGTTTATGCACAGTTGCAAGACTCTGGAGGACTCTACACCTTGATGTCTGTGGGACTCCAGAGGCACCAGCAGCTTCAAATATCTGTTTGCTGCTATGTAATGGTATTTTAGCAGCTGCTCTCTTGATCTGATGCATGGATCTGGCAAAATCTTCCTCAATGTGCCTTTATCTGCACAAACCCGTCTCTGCTCTGAATCAGCCACAAATCTCTTACTAGTGCGATGATCACGCTTACGTTTTCGGGAAATATCTAATGTTTTCATACCACGTCCAAGGCATTGAACTATTTCACTCTTTTCGGCAGCAGGGAGATCCTTTTTCTTCCCCATATTGCTAGAAAATGGTGCTCTGCTTAATAATGTGGACCACCCTCCTTTAGTAGTTTTTCCTTAAATTGGGCTCACCTGCCAATCTAATTATCACAGGTGTCCCAGATTGTTTTCAGTGATCAAAAGAGCCCTGACACACAATGCCATCCATGAGTAAACTGAAAAACAAAATATTTAATCTTTGTGACACTTAAATAGAATTTGCATAATAATTTGGAACAGGGTGTACAGTATACCACGCTGAGCCAAGCTGGCTCAAAACGAATATCCCTATGACAGATTAATCTGTCAGCCCGCTGGATGTGCGGTATATACAGTATATTACGCTGAGCCAAGCTGTCTCAAAACATACCGGTACGTCCCTATGGTAATCAGCCCGGTGGATGTGTGTTTGTACTGTAGCTGCGGGTACATACAGTATATGCTGGGCCAATCACAGCGAGTGATGTATTCTACTAATGAATACAAAGCCTGCTCGGATTGGCTGAGTCAGAGAGGCGGGCTGATGATGTCACAACCTCAGCCAATCCGTGCAGGCTTTGTATTCATTAGTAGAATACATCGCTGGCCGTGATTGGCCCAGCGTATACTGTATGTAGCCGCAGCTACCGTACATACACGCATCCAGCGGGCTGATTAACGTAGGGACGTACCGGTACGTTTTGAGACAGCTTGGCTCAGCGCGGTACACTGTATACTGTATGTACAGTATTACCGCACATCCAGCGGGCTGACAGATTCATCTGTCATAGGGACATTTGTTTTGAGCCAGCTTGGCTCAGTGCGGTATACTGTATACTGTATGTACAGTATTACCACACATCCAGCCAGCTTGACCCAAACGAACTCAAGGTTCACATTTTATACCCCGTGTATAAGATGACACCCGATTTTTGGGGTATATTTTTAAGTATAAAAAGTCATCTTATATGTCAGAAAATACTGGTATACGGTTTATGTGAATGAATTATGGCAATCAACCTTTCTCTATTTGGTATCACTTTAAGTTTCTATATGGTTGTAGCATGAGTAGGATAATCAAGATTTTTTAAAATTCTTTTTTAGTGCTTACAATAATTGACTATAATTTAATAACACCAGTCTTTTCAATAGTTATTCCTGTTTTATTTCTGTTTTAATTTCAATAAAGTGGAACAAAACAGCTAGGGGTATATTTATAAAGCATTGAATATAACATTCAGCAAACCTTGACTGGTGGTGAATCAATAACACACACACACCTGCAATTCTGACCTGCAGTGAATGTTTGGTAAATGCCAGATTCACTGCTTTTTAAATATGCCCCACCATTTTTTATTGCACCAGCAAAAGAGTTTTTTCACAAATAATGGAGTCTGATAAAAGTGTAGGAAAGTATGAGAGTCTGAATTTTGTAGGAAAAAAACAAAAATATCAAATATTGATGCATTTGTGCCTGGAGTTACTTAGTTTCAGCCAGTCAAGGCCTTTTTTTTTTTTTGTGACTTTTTTTTTAATCTTTATTTAACAATACAATATACAGATCCCCTGTTTACCATACACCAAGACATTTTTGATTGCCTTTGAATGCCACCTCTTCTCTACTACTACCAATCAAAGCTTCTCAGCTCATCCACCTAAAAGTATTTCTTTATGTTAGGAAAGATGGAGTCATGTAGCAGGCCTTCTCTTATTCATGATCTTGGCTTGCTGATAATCTGTCTCTGAACTTTTTTTGTAGACATCATGTTGCATTCACAAGGTTCACCAAGTTTTTTGTGGGAAAGCTTGGCCAATTTTTGCGGTTCTTAAGTATAAGCCATCCCTTTCCAGCACCATCTCTAAAAGGAAACCACCCCGTACCACCTTCATGCTACCCTTAACCCCTTCATGCCTAAGGGTAAAACAAATCTAAAGGCCTAATCACAATTTTGCCATGTTGACATGTGTTAGTAAAACCGTACATATCATTACAACTACTTTATATATCGAGGCAAATTATACTTTGTTTTTTTCAGGACAAATCTGGCTTTCATTTGGTGGTAAATGGTAATGGATATCTCCAGATTTTCTTTTATTCTCAAAGGAAAACCGGCACAAAATAGAAAAAAAATCATTCATTTTAATTTAGCTGTGTGTTCCTTGTTACTATCCTAACCTACCATCAAAGAGCAACCCAAAAATAAATTTACCAGCTCTTGACCATTGCAGCGATACCATATATGTGTATGTTATTTGCTGTTTGTACCCACAGTACAGCCCAGAAACAATAGTGTGCATTTTGTTTTTCGTTTTTTTTACCTAAAACACACTGACACCAATTTTTTTTGTTAAATCCTGACCTTTGACCCTGACCTTTTGAACTTGACCGTTGACCCTGACCTTGACCCAAATACTAACCCTGGCACTGAACTAGATCAAACCTTGATCTAGGTATTTTTTCTTTATTTTTTAATACTTTTTTTTTTACAAACATTTGTTTCCCCTCTATGCCAGGAGTTAGAGACATACAATGTATCTCTCTCCTCCATTCATAGAGAGAGAAAAAAAACAAGGGGGCCGGGCTGTACAGTGACTGATCACTGTGATAGCCAATCAGAGGCTAACACAGCGATTATGTGACCCGGATCATTAGAACGGGACCTGGGGCTCTCAGTGACACCGCGGTCTTTGTGCTGGGTGCACACTGTGCGGCGCACTCCCAGCACAAAGACAGGTACGCAAATATGCGGCCCTACGGAAAAAAAGCCCATCTTTGTAAGGTCGCATATTTGTGTTATGTCAGCATCAAGGGGTTAATAAACTAAACCATCCTGCTAACTTCGTGCAAATTATTTTACAATAATTGCTTAGTTGTAATCTTGCTCATTAAGGTTAGCCATTTAGAAATTTAAACATTTTTAATCCAGATGAATGAAAAACATGCCCTGGGTAATACTGGCCATAATGGCTCACAGGGAAATACAGTTCTTCCTTGGGTTAAAACATTCCTATGCTATTCTCTGGGAATAAATACAGTGGGGATCGAAAGTTTGGGCACCCCCCGCTAAAAATTTGTATTAATGTGCATAAAGAAGCCAAGGAAAGATGGAAAAATCTCCAAAAGGCATCAAATTACAGATTAGACATTCTTATAATATGTCAACAAAATTTAGATTTTATTTCCATCATTTACACTTTCAAAATAACAGAAAACAAAAAAATGGCGTCTGCAAAAGTTTGGGCACCCTACAGAGTTAATATCTTGTACTGCCCCCTTTGGCAAGTATCACAGCTTGTAAACGCTTTTTGTAGCCAGCCAAGAGTCTTTCAATTCTTGTTTGAGGTATCTTTGCCCATTCTTCCTTACAAAAGTCTTCCAGTTCTTTGAGATTTCTGGGCTGTCTGTCACGCACTGCTCTTTTAAGGTCTATCCATAGATTTTCAATTATGTTGAGGTCAGGAGATTGTGAAGGCCATGGCAAAACCTTCAGTTTACGCCTCTTGATGTAATCCCCCGTGGATTTCGAGGTGTGTTTAGGATCATTATCCATTTGTAGAAGCCATCCTCTCTTTAACTTCAGCTTTTTCACAGATGGCATCAAGTTACCGTCCAAAATTTGCTGAAATTTTATTGAATCCATTTTTCC